TTGAAGAAAGTGTTGTGACGGTGACAAGGTCAGCCAGCTAGATGTCACAGAATCTGAGTTCCCTGAGTGGGGCTGTTAATTGGTCCAATCAGGGAGCCCTGGCTGACAGATAAACCCAGGAGTGTCAGACATCCTGACACTCTGGGAGTTGACTCTGATGAGGCTATACCAGAGTGAAGGACTTCCCACATGTCAATAAAGGGTGGCATGGTGACAGAATACCAGCCTCTATAGAGTTATTTCAACCATCACCTTCTCAGCACAGTTGGAGATGGGCAACAAATGTTGACCGAGCTAGTGATGTCCCCTTCCCATGAATGGGTGAAAAAAGAAAAGTGATTATGTGACTGTACAGGTTATGCAGAGGCATCTAAGCAACTAACTAAACCTAGACTATAGAAATCTCGCCTCACTGATAATCCACTATAAAACCACTGGGTCATTGTAAACACCCATGTCCCTCGATCTGTCTGGCCTGTCTATCACTCCAGATCTCTGGTTGACTCTCAACTGCCCTCAAAAAAGGCCAGGTAGTGATGCCAAAACTTGTTGTAAATAAAGCAAACAGAAGCGTCACAGGGCAGCAGAGTTCCAAGACCACCTTGTCAAGGGAAGCAGGGATAGGCAATAAATGCTCACTTCGCCAGCATCATGAGTGGTAGATCAAAGTGTGCAGAGGACACTGGATGTATGTAGAGGGATACAGTGAGTGGGCAAAGTGGAGTACAATGTTGGTTAATGGGAGGTCATCCATTTTGGTAGGAATTACAGCAAATGGTCTATTATTTAATGATGAAAAATTGCAGCACGCTGCTGTGCAGAGGGACCTGGGTGTCCTTGTGCATGAATCAGAAAAAGTTGGTTTGTAGGTACAGCGGGAACTAAGGCAAATGGAATATTGTCCTTCATTGCTAGAGGGATGAAGTTTAAAAGCAGGGAGGTTGTGTCACAGCTGTATACCAGGAGTACTGTGTACAGTTTTGGTCTCCTTACTTGAGAAAGGATGTACTGACACTGGAGGGAGTGCAGAGGAGGATCACTAGGTCGATTCCAGAGTCAAGAAGGTTGACTTATGAGGAGAGATTGAGTACACTGGGACTTTACTCCTTTGAATTTAGAAGAATGAGGGGGGATCTTATAGAAACATATGAAATTTTAAAGGGAATAAAATAACTAAAATCAAAGCAGGGAGGTTGTTTCCACTGGTGGGTGAAACTAGAACTTGGGGACATAGCCTCAAACTAGGGAGGAGCAGATACAGGACTGAGCTGAGGAGGAACTTCTTCACCCAAAGGGTTGTGAATCTGTGGAATTTCCCGCCCGGTGAAGCAGTTGAGGCTTCCTCATTGAATGTTTTTAAGGCAAAGATGGATTTTTGAATAGTAAAGGAATTAGGGGTTATGGTGAGCAGGTGGGTAAATGGGGCTGAGTTCACAAAATCATGATCTCATTGATGGTGGAGCAGGCTGGAGGGACAGATGACCTCCTCCTGCTTCTACTTCTTATGTTCTTATGTCACCTGCGTTCTGTAAATGAACATTTGATAAAATCTTCTTTGCCTACCTTGGCACTGGGCTTTCAGTTGAACAATCTTTTCCACACATCTTTCTGAGCTGTCACTCCCATGTGAACCTCTCACACAGCTCAGTGTCTTTTCTTGTGTGCTCTGCCATCCAGTTGATGCTTTTTCTTTGGTCCTGCCAGCCCCAGCCCCTGCAATAGTCTCTCTGTCAGCTGACTCCTCGTTTTAAGGTATGCCTGGTGCTGCTCCTGGCATACTGAACCAGGATTGATCCCCTGGCTTGATGGTAATGGTTGAGTAAGGGATATGCTGGCTCATGAGGTTACAGATCGTGCTGGAGTACAATTCTACTGCTGTTGATGGCCCACAGTGCCTCATGCTTGCCCAGTTTTGAGTTGCTAGACCTGTTCCTAGTCTAGCCATTCAGCATGGTGACAGTGCCACAAAACACGATGGAGTTTATTCTCAATGTGAAGGTGGGACTTGTCTCTACGAGGACTGTGTGATGGTCACTCTTTCTGATACTGTCATAGACAGATGCATCTGCTGTCAGCAAATTGGTACGGATGAGTTCAGGTATCTTTATCCCTCATGATGAGCCCACTAACTGGAGGCCAGTCAGCCTGAGGTCAGTGATGGGAAAACTCCAGTTTGGGAATTGTGCACAACCTTAATCACCAGTTGGAAAACTGTGCAAAATAAACGGCAGCTCGCAGGGACCTGTAAAAGGCAGATTGTACCTGAGCAATATAGAGTTCTTTGATGAAGTAACAGAGAGGGTTGATGAGTGTTGCGCTGCTGACGTTGTTTAATTGAGCTTTCAAAAGCTGACTGATGAAGTGAAGCCAGTAGGGTTAAAGGGACACTGAAGCAAAGGGAAACCACAGAGAGAAGCAGTGAGCAGTTATTTTTTAGACAGGGAGCAGTGTTGTCCTTCAGGGAGTTGGTTTGAGAAGCAGTGTCTTTTTATCCTTTCTTCCATGGCCATGAGTTGGACCTGGATATACAACGCATCCCTTTGGATGATCTGAAGTGATTAATGTCATAAACAGTGAGGAGTGCAGGCAGGAGAAACAACAGGTTCACATGGACAGACTGTTGAAGTGGGCAGACACCCGGCAGATAGATTCCTTTCTGAGATCTCCACAGCCTTCTGTGGCTGTCCTCTGAGCAGCTCAAAACTTTGACCTCAGTGCCGACTGTTTGGAGTGCTAATGGCAGTCCCTCTTGTTATGCACCTGACCAGACTAGACCCCCTCAAAAGATATTTAGAAGGTAGCCTAGACCCTAACTTTTTCTGATTTGGAAGGCTAATGTAAGGTGCTATGTTCCAGATGCAATTTGATTGGTCAAACTACTGGACGTTAAGCAAAACACAATTTATTCAAACTCTACAGTTAAAATAGAACAAAAGAAAGACGAACTTGGAAAAGCTTAACTCAATGGAAGCTTACAGAAGCATAGATTATTTAACCCCTAAACAGCAACAGTTCCAATATAGTAACATCCCAAAATCACAGCGTTCACAAACAGCAAATTCAGAAAACAGGTTTTGTCTCACATGCAATCCAGCAGCCCAGGCAGAGAACCCCCAGCTTTTGGCTGTAATTGACAGAGGGAAAAACAACTTCCACTTCTTCAAGACACTAACAACAGCTGCTGTTGAAAACTAAAAACTAAAAATCCCTGGTTCTGTGGGTGGGAGTTTGACCACACCCATTCAGACGGCTTCTATTGTTCTAGTTTTTTAAAATAAAACACCCAAGGCTTCACAAGTTGTTTATCTTCCTCGCGACTACTTACCTCCACTCTCTCTCTCTCTCTGAAAGAAACCAGGACAAAATACATCTCTTTAAACCACAGCATCATCGCACTCTGTTGTTTGTGATGACACACTCTTCCAATCAGGGTGGTGATAGAACTGAAAACCAAACTTCATTTTTCTAATAGTTTATTACCCAAGTTCCCAATAACAATCGTATGTGATGAACCTACATCACACCACCTGTCAAGAAGGACTTCACTGGCAAGGAAATTCATTGAGAGGTCCCGAAAGGTGTTGTAGAAATATAACTCTAAATCTGTTCTTTGTTGTGGTTGACTCAACAATCACCCTGGGGCAGTGATGACCTTACCTTAACTCCATGGGTTTCACTGATCATTGATTGAGTGGCCCGATAATTCTGATTGTTGTAACATCCTTGTTAATTTGGCAATCTTCTGTGCGTTTCTCTGAGTTATTTGGCAGGTCTCCCCTATGCCTTGTGACAGACAGTGACATTTTTCTTTTTAAATAAAGGCATCTCTGTCAGATTCTATTTGTGTCTCTTATCAATGAACCCTACAGTTTGCCTCTGGAAGAATGATCCCAAGTGTTATCGAGAGGTGTGACGTTAATCACTGGTGATGTGCTTGACAACGACGTGGATGGCACATTTTACAACCTGTTATGCTGGAGAACTGTGTGATAAGATTGTCCTTGGAGTATTGATGCTGTCATGGCCCAGCTTACACAGTAAGACATGCCCCAACGCAACTCCCCAGAAATCGTAGAGACATTTATGGAAATTTTCCTTTACTGAGCATTCAATAGGTCATATTGATAGGGAGTACTCAGCAGACTGTCCTTAGGGGACTGCATGACATCTGTAGTTTGAACAAAAGAATGCCCCGTGCCCCGTCTAGTGAAATTGCCATGTTCAGTTTATGGTCAGGTTTCTGATTATATTCTGCACATCTCATCCACCAAGTGATGGGAAACAGTTGGTGCAGCTCGGGAGGGAGTTTCAATCCAAGAGGAAGGGCAGAAATGGGGGGAGGCCCATATTTTCAGATGCTTTATTTTGGAATTAATTTCCTCCTAGCCCGGTTCTGTGAGCATCTGGAATACAACTTGTGATACTGGCTCATTCTCGACATATTTGGGAAGGAGTCAGACCGGTGCACAATCCGAGAGGGTGTTGGGGATTATGGTAGGAATGACCAGGGAATGCACGGTGCAGAAAGAGGCCACTCGGCCCATCAACTCAGCACTGACCCTCTTAAGAGCATTCAAGCCTATCCCCGTAACCCTGCATTTTGCATCGGTGCCAACCTCTGTGCCGCCCCAAATTTATTTCTTTAATTTTGATTCTGGCCTTTTCTGCAAACCCCACAAAAATTGCTGCATGATTAATGGGTGTGCCTTGGGTTGCCTGGAACAGAGCTCCGGAATTGCCTCATATTTCTTCCTTTGAGATGCCTGATGTTGTGGTTCATCTCAGCATGCTTGTGTGCAACAGCCTGGGTCGGCATGAGCTTTTTGTGACATTAAAGAGGCTGCAGAACCATTCATTGTTCTGTCTCGTAACTTCAGAGGGAGTGATGCAGGCGCAAGCAACGAGGTTCCTCCTGCACGCTGGAGATCGGTGTGAGTCCACGGAGCCGCTGAGAGTGACTGCTGTGTGTGTTTTTGTGTTTTCCCCTCTCCCCACCACAGGGCCGCTGCATTAACTTCACGCGGGTGAAGAATGAAGCCAAGCCCACCAGCTACCCGATCTACAACAACATGAGGAACGCGGGGCCTCCTCCCATCTATAGCCCCAACCTGAGCCCTCCTGCCTCTGCCACCCCGTCGCCTGAACCTTCGCCTACTCCGTCGCCGACCTCCTCGCTGCCTCCACCGCCCCCAGGACCGCCACCCACCCGGGCCCCTCCCCCGTCTCGCCCACCACCCCGCCCTTCCTTCTGAAGCCACCGGGGGGCGCAAGTCGGGTGGCTAACCCTTCGTTTCTGTGGTTGATGGTGAAGGGCACCAAAGTGGGACTGTGTTAAGGCTCCCTGCTGGCCCAAAGGAGATTCTTCCCTTTTGTCAGTTTTTTTTATATATTGCAGGGTGCCTGCAGCAAAGCAAGCTCCAATCCACACTGTAATATCCTTCTGAACATATGCCGGTTAAAGTTGGCATCATTGCCTTAAACTCGATCAATTGTCGCTTTTAAGTTGTGTGATATATTGATATTCGGCAGTTACCATTTTATATATATCCTTATTACATTTTTAGTATCTTTCTGCAACTAAAAACAAGCGGGAGACCCAACATCAAATGGCACGTTGGGTTTTGAGCAGTCTGTCGAGGAGATTGGTCGTTGAGTTTCTCCCTTCTCTCTGCACATGGACTGATGAGACGGTGGGGATGGGGGCGTTGATATCTGTTGCTGATTGTGTTACCCCCTTCAGTTTGAACGTTATCTGTAACAAAGGCTCTCGTGCCATCTCCTCACTGGCATGAGCTGTAATGCAGCGTCCTGTTTGTATTGGGGTGGCAGGGGTTACCGCCCAGTGATGTACACAGCACATATGTTGTGGCCTTGAATCCCAGTGGGGTCCTGCTCTCAGTTGGGGGCCTGTGTGTGTGTGTGTGTGTGTGTGGAGGGGGAGGGGATGGTAGGGGGCAAGAGGGGGTGTTCATTTTTCTTCAATCGGGACCCACTTTGGCGGCTCCTCACTGGGATGGGGGCAGGAGGACATTGCCTGGCACGATGAAGGAGCAGCTGCCTGGAGGTAGATTGCCCCATTTAAGGGTTATCCACTGTTCCCCCCCCTCCCCACCTCTCTTCCTCCTGTTCCCCACCTTCCCCTTCCTCCCACACCAATTCCAACCCTGTCTCAAATAGCAGCTTGGTCCAAGGTGGGAGATGGTGGTCAGGGGTGGACATAAGGAACTGCAGGCGAGGTCAGGTAGGCACTGGGTTAGGGGAGTGGGCTCCATTCAGCCAGCTCGTGATGCTGACCTCCTCAGAGTGACTGGGTTGGGCGAGGTGACCATCCAATGGAAGCAGGTCCCTCAAGCTGCTGGGATAATGCTGGTCCCTGACCAGGAGACATACAGGAAGCTTGCAGGAACACTACTATGCATCATCCCTGGGACAATGTTTGGAGGATGGGTAGGCTACGCAGGTTCGTGCCTCCCACTGACAGACACCCCACTGCGGCTCCAGACGTCACCCATCTGGAAGGGACCTGCCCATTAGATCCCTTACTCATGTTCCCCACGAAGACTGAGGGGAACGGGAGGCCAGAGTGAGATGTTACACTTGTCCTGCACCACCTTGCAAGCAGCCGGAATCAATCTGTGTCCCATCTGTTCACCTCAATGCCACCAAGCAAGCATGGGGCAAGGACATAGCTGTCTGGAAACAGATGAGATTTTTGGAAATGCTCCATTATCCTGGGGAACTGATGGACTTCAGCAGGAATTCTATGGAATGGGACTACTGAGTTGAAAGCCTGAAGATGTGGACATCTTGAGGAAAAGCTTACTTGCACTGATTGTGGATATCACGCCAATCTATCATGATGTGGCATCAGCAAGGCTGAAAAAAAAAACAAAAATTGGAGACTAAACAGATTCAATTCAAGAGACCTTCCTGTTGACAAAGTGTTTGGGAGCAGGACGCATCCTTCTATATGGATTGACCTCAACGTCTCCTTGGGTCCCAAACTGCTTCACCTCTGGAAGCAACAGGAACAAAAACACACAGCCCTGGTCGTTTTCCAGCTGCAGCTGTTTCTTCTCATCTTGCCTTCCTTGTCACCCACCACCTGTCAAAGCCTTGGTATCATTGCCCCTCTCCTCCATTTGAGGTGGCAGGGAAAGTTTTTTGGTGAGACACCTCAATTGGCTTTAGTGTCACTGTCTTGGTCTGTCCTGAATAGAAACATCTTCGGGCCTTCATGATAAACCGAGCTGAAGAGCTTGTCAACCAATGTTTTATTTTCTCCTCAACCTGTTCAGCAATATTATGACATATGTCTGGAGCAGGTGGGACCTGAACCCAGGTCTGACCCTGTGTGTACCATGGAGACAGCACACCACACTGGAGAGAAAACAACCAGATCAATAAGATTAACTGGACAGGGCTGGAAAATCACTTCAAGTTGTTGCCTGAAGCAAATGGACTGTACACAGCTAAAATCGAGATCCTGTCCATTCAGGATTGTGCCTTTGACTGAAAGCATCCTACCTCGCAGATTGCACACAGCTCATTTTACTGTCAGGCAAATTGCTGGGACCTTCTGGAACAAAGAATGCATTATCTTGTGAAAAGTCTTGAAAACATTTCCAGCCAAACCTGGAATCGTTCGAACATGCAGTGTGGTCATTTTTAAGCATGTATTTTCTCTGTGTCTCTATGAACCACCAGAGATAGCACAGCGGGTGCCATGAATGACCTTCCTCGAACCCGTTTATGTTAAAAGTTGATCATCCTCAACAGATCATGGCACTTCTCTCCAGAATACTCACTGGTCATGGGGACCTGAAGGGAAAAGGAAGACGGTATATTGAGAAATGAAATTCAGGGCTTTCTGATGCTCTTCATCGAGGGGGAAAGTTGTTCACATTGCAGCATTTTACAAACACTGTTAAGACTGAACCAACATTTATGACCGACTTCAGATTTGTGCCCAAGATTCAGCAATACTGCAAATGGGAAGCACTTGCAGAACTACCCTGACTGCACCTATTGCTGCGAGAACAAATAATTTCAAGTGATCAGTCGATACATGGGACCTGTTCTCTGCAAGTAACAAGAATTGGTTCAAGCCTTGCACATTTTTTATTTAATTACATGGGAGCCTGGAAATCCTTTCTATTTCCCAATGCAACACTTCGACCAGTCAGAGTCAACTTGCCGACCAGTCAGCAACCTTCTGCAGCATAAATTGGTGTGATTACAGTCATAGAGATATGCAGCACAGAAACAGACCCTTTGATTCAACTCGTCCATGCCGACCAGATATCCCAAATAAATCTAATCCCATTTGCTAGCCCATATCCCTCTAAACCCTTCCTATTCATATACCCATTGTTCAGAATTTGGCATTCTTGTATTTGTCCTGACAAGTGACAAATGAAAAGCTTCCACAATCTGTCAGAAAAATTCATTCTTCTAAGATGTTTTTGCCCCTTTGTTGGCCTGTCCTTCATGAGCAGTGATCCGAGATGACCTAGTTACAGCTCATAATATAAGTTTTCAACAAGAGAAGGTGTGAGAGTCAGAGCAGAATGATCTTTCTGACACCAAGCTGAATTTTGGAAACGTGCAGGTGGCAAAGAGAATTGAGGTCTGAGTAAAGAACTGATCGAACCAGGAAGCACGCAAAAAGTCTTGACTGAAGGAGGGTTCACGGACAGGTAGTTGCTGTTCAGGAGCAATGATCAGAGGAGCCATGCCAGAGGTTGTATTGACATAGCACAAAGATAAGGGAAATTGGCATAGGAAGAAGAGTTGGAGTCTGTATGCGATAGATCGTCAATGATTCATGAGCTGTCATCTCCTTTCTGTGTTGGAGGAGGTCACAGATATGGGATTCATATTTACCCATGAATCCAACAATATAGGTCACACATGGAACCCTGACAACATTCTAGCAATAGCACTGAAGACTTGTGGTCCAGAACTTGCCCCTCCCTTACCCAAGTTCTTCCAGTTCAACAGCAACACTGGCATCTCCCTAACAGTATGGACAAATTGCCCAGGTATAACCTGTACACAAAAAGCAGGACAAATCTAACCTGGCCAATGACCATTAGTCTACTCTCAGTCATCAGTAAAGTGATGGAGGTGTCAAGAACAGCAGCACGGCTCAGCAATAACCTGCTTACTGACTGACACCCAGTTTGGCTTCTGCCAGGGCCACTCTGCTCTTGACCTCATTGTAGCCTTGGTTCACACAAGGACAAAAGAGCTGAGTTCCAGAGGAGAGGTGAAGTGAGAGTGACAGCCCTTGACATCAAGGCTACATCAAGGAGCCATAGAAAAACTGGAATCAGTGGGTATCAGGGGGAAACTCTCTGATGGTTTGAGTCATTCCTATCACATAGGAAGATGGTTGTGGTTGTTGGAGGTCAGTCATCTCAGCTCCAGGACATCTCTGCAGGAGTTCCTCAGGGTAGTGTCCTAGGCCCAACCATCTTCAGCTGCTTCATCAATGACCTTCCCTCCATCATAAGGTCAGAAGTGGGGACGTTTGCCAATGATTGTACAATGTTCAGCACCATTCCCAAGTCCTTAGATACCGAAGCAGTCCATGTTCAAATGCAACAAGATCTGGACAGTATCAAGGCTTAGGCTGACAAGTGGCAAGTAACATTAGCGCCACACAAATGGCATGCTATGATAATCTCCAATAAGAGAAAATCTAACCACCACCACTTGACATTCAATTGTATTACCATCATTGAATTCTCCACTATCAACCATTGACTTCACTAGACTCATCACATAAACACAGTGGATATAAGAGTGGGTCAGAAGCCAGGAATACTGCAGCAGTAAACTCACCTCCTGACACCCCCAAAGCCTGTCCACCAGCTCCAAGGCACAAGTCAGGAGTGTGATGGAATACTCCCCACTTGTCTGAATGGGTGCAGCCCCAACAACACTCATGAAGCTTGACACCATCCAGGACATAGCCACTCACTTGTTTGGCACCATATCCACAAATATCCACAAATATCCACTCCCTCCACCAGTGATGGTCAGGAGCAGCAGTGTGCACCATCTGCATGATGCACGACAGAAATTCACCAAAGATCCTTAGACTGTACCTTCCAAATCCATGACTACTTCCATCTAGAAGGACAAGGGCAGCGGACACATTGGAATACCATTCCCTGCAAGTTCCCCTCCAAGCCATTCATCATTCTGACTTAGAAATAGATTGCCCTTCCTCCAGTGTCACTGGGTCAAAATCCTGGAATTCCCTCCCTAAGGGCATCATAGGAGATGGACTGCAGTGGTTCAAGAACGCAGCTCATCACCACCTTCAGGCAATAAATGCTGGCCCAGCCAGCAATGTCCAGGTCCCAGGAATGAATAAAAAAATGATTGGTGCTGTGCAAACAGTAGTATTATTATTCAGTAAAGGAACCAGAGATATAAAAAAGCATAGGCTTGACATAATTTCACAAGAAGTCT